GAGAGAAATTCCATGCTTGAAATCGAAGAGGGCAGACCTGTTCATAATCAGACTGACGACGAGCGCAACCGCTGAAAATCTCTACGATCGAATCGTCGAAAGTTTGGGAGATTTCCAGCTCAACATAAGGGATATTAGAGGAATAACCACCGACGCGGCACCCGCTATGATCAGACTTGGCGAACTTCTGAAACGTGCTGCCGCCCCATACCCTTCCTATAATCAGCTGTGCTTCGCACATGCACTACATCTGGCCGTTCTGGACGCTTTCGAATCTCAGCCCCTCGACATCAACGACTTCTGGAATGACCAAGTGCCCTCTGATAGTTCGCAATCAGATGATGAGTCTGACCTTCGGGCCGAGGAACCGGATCGCGAAAGAGCGAATCGTTCGAGCAGCGCCAGCGTACCATCTACTCAGACAGGTATTCACGGGCAGGCTTTGGGCCGAGTTCGAGCGGTTTGCACTCTTTTCGTAAGGAGTCATGCGAAGCACGATGCGCTCATGAAGCTCAGTGATAGCGCAAGGTCTAAAAAAGTCATCCTGGACTGCGTGACCCGATGGAATAGCACCTTAGCAATGATGCGGAGATTTCTTGAGCTGAAAGATAAGATGAAACAAATTCATGGGGCTCATTCTCCGCGAGGCTGCAACTTTCCCGTCACAAATAACGATATAGACACCGTCGTGGAAATGGTGGAGGCTCTAAAGTTTGTCGAAGATGCGGTTAAAATGCTCTCCAGGGAAGATACGACGATGCTAGATGCTGACTATATATTGCAGGTATGTATCTAGTCAACGTTGAATATCGTCTGTTGAGACGCTGCGCCGCGCCGTCGAGAAGCTATCAGGGAACTGCATAAGTTTCGTGCCCTGTTTTTCAACTGATTATATCTCGGCTTTGGGAAGGCGGAGAGACTTTCCAAAATATACGTTTTTCGCGAATTGAGCTCAGCTTTCACGAGTGGGGAGTGGCATCCCGATCAAACTCACCCGTCCCGAGAAATTCCCAAAATACTGGAATCTCCGATATCGCAAAATTTGAATTCCCAGGGATTTTTCTCCAAAATACCGTCAACCGCCGATTTCACTCGCTCATGTGAAAGCTCGTCTGAAATGCAGTCGATTAGTTTTTTACGAGCGGAAATCGCCCATGAGAAGACCTCCGAATCGAATGAAGTTCATCGGAATTTGAAATTGCGATAATTCCGATAGCACCCGAGCGATTTCTCCGGAACCTCGTCAGTTTTGAGACTGCTCCTCGGCGCAGTTCAGACCGACAAGCTCCCCCGAGTTTTCTTTGGCTCGTTCGGAGCCCGACCGCCGACCGCCATTATTTCGATGAGCGTCAATTTGAATGTCCATTAGTCCATTGGTTTTCGCGCGTGAGCTGATCTCCAACGACGTCTCAACGGATTTGATTTGGATTCGCGGTGGCTATTGTTGCCATCATCTGCACCTGCGGACTTTCTTCCGCGAATAACGTAGATTTAGGGAACCCTCTCCGGCTTCTCTAAGCCGGAATATCATCATTCGAGAAACAGGGCGCTAATCACGAAACTTATGCCTCTCCGCTCTCTGCGACCGACGGATAGCCGAGTGGTGAGAGCGGTCTGCGGGTCACATGCAGATTTGCGCTAGCCACGTTGACGTTGTATCGTGCAGGAGGCAGCATGGGTTCGATCCCTGCAGCCGTCTACTTCGAGGATGGTATTCTCTCCGGGAAACCCAGGGTCCCCATTCATCGCGAGTGAATGCCGGAGTAGTACTCAGGCCGTGACGAAGACGCTTGGCGTCTCTCGCTTGGGGCCAGGAGAGGGGATGAAAAA